GTGATGAGCAGAAAAGGATTAAAATCCCCAAAACCCCAAAACCCCAAAACCCCAAAACCCCATCATATCTCAAACAACTTCATACCATTTAAATTTAACTTAACTTAATTGCAATAAAATTATTTCTAAATATATAATGGTTAGGCTAATTAGTTCAATCCTCTACTTTTTATTATTTTTCAAAACCTCAATATCAACTGAGATTCAATAAGACATTCAAGTATAAAATCAATTTTCAGTAGATGGAGAGAGCTTAATAGTGGAAAAATTCGAAGTGGATGGTGTAATTCTGTTATTAAAGTAATTACATATATATAGTTAAGACTTGAAGGAGAATTGAATACTACTGATATTGAAGCAAGAGTTTTAGAAACAGAGACATTAAGAACTTCCAATATTTAATCCAACGTTTATGTAAGATAATGAAAGTTTGAATAAACTCATTTGAATAGATTAAAGGCAAAGTTGAGTTGAGGTAGCAAAATCAAATAGCTAAAATTAATACAATCTTGGAAGTTATCTAACATGAAGAAAAAATAGCACTAATTCCATCATTTGAGCAAGTTTCGTAGATTTCGCAAGAACTTGATATCAAATTACCTCCAAAAACTGATCACATATATGTAAGGGGTAGATTGGACTATTACAATGATATTCCAGGTCTAGCATACATTAAATTAGCCGATTCTAATGTTTATATATGGCTTTACCCTCTTGAAAACACTGATAATATTTGTACTGAGAACAAGGAGAAATTAAAATAATTAGAGTTGCTTCCCTATAATAAGCAAAATGCTTAGATAAATTCAAAAGTTGACTTATCTGAGATAAAGTCATTAGATGGAAGTTTGAGGCTTGAATTCGGTATCAGTTTTAATAAGGCATGCTACGGATTGATTAATAAGTTGCATGTAGATAAGAATATCAATGCTTTTGAATTCAGAGATATCAATATTGTTCAAACTTAGTGATTAAATTCTTATTACTCTTAATTTCAGACAAATTTACTATTGCGGGGTTTTGGGGTTTTGGGGTTTTGGGG